TTTTGAAAAATATATAATCAAAGAAATCCAACTTTTTCATACAGTTTTATGAGTTCTCTTGACTTTTAGCTTTCCATAGAGATGCAGGACTTTGAAAAATGAGAACGCAGTGGGTAAAAATGTGACGGGAGCAAAAAACACAACTACTTGGGGTTCAGAGGACAAATAAAAAAAGAATCGGCTCCGGCAGAAGACGCCTGTCAGGCTAAAAGTTTATAGTTTAATTGGAAAATGCCACAAAGAAAAACCATAAATGACATGATTCACATGTAAACTGAGGACGTTTTATTTTGTTTTCAAACGTGTTTGAATAGTTGAAACATTCCAAAAGCATCATACATTATGTCTTCACTTGCCGGCCCGTAATATGTTAATTACACGACAGTATGCTTGATGCTCTTTGCAATTAGGTGGAAAAATATGTATCGCAACAGATATCTGGCAAACTTGTGCCATTATCTGCAAAAATCCAATGTTCTGCATTGTGCTTATAAGATTATTGCATTCCTGTTTTGTGCAGCGTATCAAAGATCACTGGCTGTAACTTCAGCATTATATGACTGATGATATGGTGTTAAAGTTACTGTACATGAAGCTTCATCTTAAGCTGTGATAGTCTGATTTCAGCAAACAACCTGGGATGTTATGTGTCAATTTATGCCCTGGATCACACAGACGAGCGGATCAATCCATTCATGTAAACTAAAAACTAAAAATAGCAAAGTATAAAAGTGCATTTTGTTAACCCCCTTAATGTCCACCACCTTTTTCCAAAAAAACAGTTGCCCTTAAAACAACATAGAGGTAAGAATCTATGATTTTTTCTGTGAGGAACTATTTCTGCTTTGTTATATTCATATTTTTATGGTTCGTGCTGTTTGCACCATTTCAATTTAGGGGCTTTTCAACAAATGTGTATAATTCAAAGGGAGCCGAAACACAGTGAAAATGAGCTGGCTTAAGTGGCTACGTTGCATAAGATCTAATTTAAATCTTACACATGCTCTGATTTTCCACCTTTATCATCTCTCTGTACACGACCTGCATTGATGAGAGTGAGAGTTTAATGTGTTTTCATACATGCAATCGTTATAAATCCATATCAGCATTTACAGGCTCGTCCCTTGAGGCGAAGTTTTGATTTGGTTCTGTGCCATAATGTATTTAAAATGATGTCCATATCTTACAATAAATCAATAAAGACAATATTTACACTTTTGCTGCTAAAACCATCCTGATGTGTTCAGGCTAAATAGAGGAGAGTAACATATTGAGTTCATTCCGGTGTTGGTTTCAATCTATAATTCAATACGTAATTGCATTTCTTTGCACAAGTGCTTTGGAATACAAGC